TTAAAACTTCAGACAAAGAAAAAAAAATACATCCTGGATTTTGGGCACATGACTGTAGCATGTATCTTGTTGTTGTTGTGTAATTACGTCTAAACATTAAGAAAGCATTGATATTTTTTAAATAGTTTTTTTCCAAAGGTTGGAAGATTATAAATATTTTAACCATCAAAAGTTGTGGGTTAAATTCTGGCAAGTTGAAAAGTAGCATGGTAATTTGCCAAATGCCAAACTCATTTGGATCATACAGTCTCCAAGCAATCATAATCAGAATAAAATGACAATTATTGTTTGGCAACACACCTTCCATACAGTACAATATCTTACCTTTTATAAAATGTGTACTACACTTGTGCACATCTATGGCCTTTAGAATGTCATCCTTCCGTAACTAGTGCAAGATCCGCTTCATGGACCACACCAACCTCATCCAGTTTTCCCAAACGTTTTTCTTCCATCAAAATTCGAAAACATGAATCACTAACAGTTTCCATAATTATCTGTAATGACTGAAATACATCTATGAATATTTATTATGTTAAAACAGTGTTCAGATTTCATTTTTACATACAAAAAGTTATGGCAATTTTGAATGAAAGTGTAATTTTGCTTCCCTTATCTTATAATTTTAGTCTTTAAAATAAAAAAGTGACAACTGGAAGATATCTTATAATTTTAGTCTTTAAAATCCAAAAGGTGACAACTGGATGATATTAAGGTCCACTGAGAAAGCTCAATTTATTAGGTATTTTCATTTCACTTCTCTAACATTGCAACAATGTAGAAAATTTTTCTTTCGAAATCAGTTTATGGGATTGCAACTCTAGTTATTATTTGTGGGCTATAAATGGGTGAATTATATCAAATGTACATAATTATCTTAATTAAAAAGTATTGTCTTCAGTATTTTGACACCTTTATTTTTTAAAATTGGTCCAAAACCGGAACAGGGCAGGCCAATAAACGAAATCGAGAGAGTGCGGGAAAAAGAAATTCACAAGTTAACATAGTAGACTATAAAAAGTCTATTAAAAAACTATGAAAATTCTATTAAAACTCTATAGAAAGTCTATGAAAATTTTATTTAAAAAAAACCTTTAAAAACATAGAAAATCTATAAACAATTTTATAAAAACCATTTATAAATCTATAAAATAAAGCCCCTATAGAAATCTAAACATTTTATAGAAAAAAACCTACAAAAAATACATTAAATATCATGCGAATAGAAATTCTATACAATTGTATAGAAAGTGTATATAAATTGAACGATTTTCTATAGAAAATCTGTGTATTCTATAAAAAAAATTGTGGGTGTTGTGTGTTTTTGGACAATTCAACTGGTGTTCAACTGGCCCCAATTCCAATTGGTTTTCAATGGTCCCAGTTCCAACTGGTCTTTAATTTGTCACGTCCCAGTTCCAACTTGTCTCTATTGGCCTAACTTTCCACGGTCTCTATTCCTTGTTGCAAATTAGTAACAATGGCTTTAATCAACTTCTGCAGACTTACAAAATACACTGAGTTCATATACAAACCATAATTTCTTTAAATTAAAAACACCAACAAACATCATACGGTAGGGACATTACTTCCCCAGGGTCTCATTTACTAGCATACCCCTTCACATATCGTTCTGCTTATGTCTTACTGTTAAACATACTGTACCTCAAATTCAATGCTATTCTAGAGTACTTTGCTTTACATTCCTGTTTAAATATGCATTTTTTCCGTAATGTAGTCCTATCACGTATTAAAGCATCACTATAGTTTATTGTATAAAATAATATTCAAGAAACATTTGTGTTACAGGTGTGCACAAACCAGCATTCTTTGTGATATTGCAGCAGCAACTGTCCGTAACCATGCCTTTTCTTGTCCGATTGTACCAAGCTAAATTAGTATGAATTATGCCGTTGAACAAATCCACTTTGAAATACTGAATCACAGTGATTTTTAACAATTTTCGGAGTTTCACTCTTGCTGAAAGATATAACAAAACAAAATCTTTAAAAATAATAATAATGGTCGACTTATACAGTATACAGTATGTAGAGCGCATATTATAGAAACCTCTATTCAATGTATTATTACTCTTTGGAATTATTGTATTGAAATAGGAGTGATATACCTAATGTAGCTAAGAGACTAGCAGTTACTTTTTTTTAATCAAAAGAAAATTATCAGTTCCATTTTTTCCCTTTAGTTTTCAAAATAGCTTGGGCCTACATTATAATTTCAATATCCCTTAAGGCCTATATAGGCCTAATAAAATTGATTATTTGATTAAACTCCATCATCTAACTACAGCATCATCTATAGCATGTTGTTAGTATAGGACAGTAAACTTAAAACGTAAAAAAAACATTATATTCACCTTAAAATGTCAGGTAATTTTCTGTTCCTTCACAGATACGTCTTCAAACAAACACTACTTTCCTACTACAATGATTTAGTTGACCGGATTGAGTTTTCACTTACAGTAAAACCGAGACTTGAGTATCTGAAATAAAAAGTCACCATTTATGTTATTATTTATAGACCTTACATTAACTTTCTGCAACCCCCACCCCCGGTTAACCCTAAACCTATTATTTTATTAAAGCATGGACATAATTAGTGAGATGTAATTCACCACTCTTCTTATGGCATGCTAGACTATGGGCAATTAAAAGGCCTAGGCCTAGGCAAACAAAAACCTAAAAGGCCCAGAGTCTAGAACTAATAGGCCTATATTCTCAATGAGGATAGATGGTGGCCTGGAGAGAACAGAGAACCTCAGTTCTGTCGTTTCTGTACAGCGGCCAGGCTAGTGCTGTATTACCGGTACAGCTAGGCCTTGGGCTAGGCCAGGCCTCTTCAAGCATTCATCATCTGAGTTCTGAGTAAAACAGCTTTAAAAGTACTGAAGAAATTGAAGAAAAATCACAGCAGCAGTCAAAGAAATTCCTTAGCAACAACACAGTTTCCATTGAGCTCTTGCTGGAAATAGGTTGGGGAACAGAAATCTTCTATTTTTAAGTCAAAACCTCAGAGAGTTAATTAGTGATACCCAGGGGGATATTTGTTATACATTTATAAAGCTGAAATATCCACGTACTGATTATGGCATCCCTATCGTTATGATGAATTTAGTAGACATAAGAAAGTGTTTTATTCGTCAAGCCTGGTTAGAGGGTGTTTTGTCGGGGTGTGGATGAAAAAGGGACGGGGTGGGGTTATGGGGGAGGGGTCTGGATTTTTAAAAATAAATTTATAAACATTTAAAAAATACATTTTCAGAATTATGCAAGTATTTACAAGTAAAATGATCAGGATTTCTATTGTTGCAAGCTATATTGTAGCATGGGGAAGTGGTAAACAAGCTGTTTAAGCAAGACAGTAATTCCTCCATTCGAACTACCGGTTCCATCATTGAAATACTGGTAGATCACATTAACTACTCTCTATCTTCTTTAAAATCAAAACATTTAGCATTATTTATGCGTCCGCAATACTTAATTGAATGCTAGGCCTATACCTTTCTTTGTGACCAGTGATCCAAATCAAATTATGACAAGGGCTCATGGGAAATTATGCTAAATTATACCAAATGTTTAATTTAATGGTTGTTTAATAAGCGCCTTTCTCCCACCTAAAATGAAAGCAACACTATTCTCAATACTATTACTGTATACCCAGTGGTGCCGCCAGAGTCGACAGTATCAGGTCTGATGTTCCTGACTCGGAATTCTTACCAACTAAACCGCAGAAACCTGTGGTAGAGATATTTATTTTTTATTTATATATAATATTATTCTGTCTTTTACCTAGTGTATTGATATACTCCTTCACAGCAAAGTATTTTATATACTAATAATATAACTAATAATATACTATATATATATATATATATATATAAAACAAGACATGAACCGCTTCGTATCTTTTGAATTACAAGGTTATTTTCTTTATTTAGTACTAAAAATAGTCCGTACCATGGTGCTATGCTCTGGAAAATTACTTTTGAAGATATATTTCTAAGGCTACGGTCACACTAGCGTCTCAAGCCTGGCTTGACTCACCGCGGGTGAGATTTCAAGCCAGGCTCGAAATTCTGGGTCGGTCACACTAGTTGGATTGACCTCCAAATTATGAATGTCGAAACAGCAGAGCCGTAGAGAGAGAGTTTGGCCAACTCTGTTTCACGGGATTCGATATAGCCTACGCGCGTGTGATTGGGTGGATCGCAATCAAAGATTTTACACCAGACGTGCCCGAACCACTCTTCTTCAACTGCTCTTTTATCAGCTTGTATTGGGCTCGCAATGCCTTCACTTTTGTTTGAATTTGGGCCGTCGTTCTCTTCTCATGTCCGAGACTGTCTAATCTGTCAGCAAGCACGCCAAAAATTCCCGTTTTGTTGTTTGTTTTTTATTTGGCCCCACAGATCTACCAGGTCAACAGTTTCCTGGTCGCTCCCAATCAATCGCATTATTATTAATTAAAATTTGAATTAACTTTTATGAAAAGTAATGATTGCGTCTTGATTGAACACGCATGAAGAACTGGCGGGCAGGTTTTTTTTATTCAAGAACTTGTAAATGCAACGGCGTCATCGACTGTGATTGGTCGACAGCCGACGAGGAAATGTCAATCTCGGTCACGCCAGGGTCAATCCAGGGTCAATATGGGTGCTGAGCCGGGATCGAGATAGGTATATTGAGATCGAGGTCACGCCAGGCGCGAGCCGGTGCAGATGCGGTCACATTACGAAGATCTCACCTGCGGTGAGTCAAGCCAGACTTGAAACTCTAGTGTGACCGTAGCCTTAAGCACTGTCGACACGCAATCATTACTTTTCATAAAAGTTAATTCAAATTTTAATTAATAATAATGCGATTGATTTGGAGCGACCAGGAAAACTGCTGACCTGGTAGATTTGTGGGGGCCAACCCGAGCTGAGAGACCGGATAGAAAATAAAAAAACAAACAAAACGGGAATTTTTGGCGTGCTTGCTGACAGATTAGCCAGTCTCGGACATGAGAAGAGAACGACGGCCCAAATTCAAGCTAAAGTGAAGGCATTGCGAGCCCAATACAAGCTGATAAAAGATCAGTTGAAGAAGAGTGGTTCGGGCACGTCTGGTGTAAAATCTTTGATTGCGATCCACCCAATCACACGCGCGTATATCGAATCCCGTGAAACAGAGCTGGCGAACTCTCTCTTTACGGCTCTGCTGTTTCGACTTTCATAATTTAGAGGTCAATCCAACTAGTGTGACCGACCCAGAATTTCTAGCCTGGCTTGAAATCTCACCCGCGGTGAGTCAAGCCAGGCTTAAGACGCTAGTGTGACCGTAGCCATTGTTTGGTTCTTTAAAGCTGTTTAACTATTTTGTAAATGATTAGAATGACCTTGTATAAATATACTTCATCAGTATCGTTTTAGTGATGAAGTATATTTACACAACGTCATTCAAATCATATGACGTTGTGTAAATATACTTCAATAGGTTTTAGTTTCACATCGCTGAAAATAGTGCAGATGATTGTTCTGTTGGCTTCAATATTTTTTTAAAGTTTCAATAATCACAACTAGTTTCAAACCATGCCCAGTAGGGCTTTCCAAATTTTTTTCAGCAGGTCAATTAATTCAAGGCTATTTCCTTCATTTAGGTATAGATTTACGTAGGCTTTGTACCAGAGTACGATGCACTACAAATACTTTCGGAACATATTGTAGGGCCTGAATTTTGTGTAGGTGAATAAATTGTTTGGAAGCGAAGTATGGCGGTTTGAAAGTTGGTGAATTCATATACGTTTCTCGTAGAATGGCCTTCATAAAATTACTAAATTTTAGGGTTTAGAGTTGAAATATTGAACACAAATTTAAAAAACAGTAGGATTAATGGTAATACTTTATATTTATGATATAATCACATTTTGCTCAAATTACATGTTATACTGTCTGTTTTACTCCATAAACACTCTATAAACAATCTATTAATATCTAAATAATAATATATTTCACACTGCAAAAAAAAGAATGTATATTCCAAAATTTCTATAGATTTGTATGGATTTTATATATTCTTTATAGAAAACTTTTTTTTACAGATAAACATTTCCATAGCGTTTGTATAGATTTTATATATACTTTCTATAGATAAACATTTTTACAGGTTATAAACGTTTCCATAGAGTTTATATATATATATATATATATATATATATATATATATATATTCTGTAGACTATTAAAAGTTACAGTTTGTAAAATGACTCTTGGTTTAGAATATTATATAGTTCTACAGAATATACTATAGAATAGTAGGATTAATGGTAATACTTTATATTTATGATATAATCACATTTTGCTCAAATTACATGTTATACTGTCTATTTTACTCCATAAACACTCTATAAACAATCTATTAATATCTAAATAATAATATATTTCACACTGCAAAAAAAAAATGTATATTCCAAAATTTCTATAGATTTGTATGGATTTTATATATTCTTTATAGAAAACTTTTTTTTACAGATAAACATTTCCATAGCGTTTGTATAGATTTTATATATACTTTCTATAGATAAACATTTTTACAGGTTATAAACGTTTCCATAGAGTTTATATATATATATATATATATATATATATATATATATATATTTTGTAGACTATTAAGACTATTAAAAGTTACAGTTTTTAAAATGACTCTTGGTTTAGAATATTATATAGTTCTACAGAATATACTATAGAAAATTTATTTACTTTGAAATTTCATATATGTTATACTCTATAGAGGTTTTATATGTTCCTATAGAAAGGCCTAATCCCTATAAATGTTTATAGTACGTTAAAAAAATACAGGTAAAGGCCTAAAATTTTTTTATAGAATAAATATAGAAATTATATAGTTAGTTTTATTATAGAGAACTTGTCATATCGTTTGTATAGAATATTCTATAGAATTTCTGAATATGCAAGGTGTAAAGCTCAATTGACTTCCTATCTTATTGATTATGATTTAATCAATATTGATCAATTTGCGTTTCTTAAAAATCACTCTACAGTTACATGTTTACACAGAATCGTTGATAAATGGCTTGAATGCATGGATGACTCCGAGATGATTGGAGCATGTTTTTTAGATATTTCTAATCACTATTGATCACTCAATTCTACTATACAAACTTGCTAACTATGGTGTAAATCCAAATGCTATTGAATGGTTCAAAAGCTATCTTAAAAATAGAAAACAATTTGTATACTGCAATAATAGAAAATCAAAATTGAATTCCATTAACATTGGTGTTCCTCAGGGTAGTGTTCTAGGACCTATTCTTTTCCTCTTATTTATTAATGATATTTCACAATCTATCGGAAATGGTATCTGTAGCATTTTTGCTGATGATGTAGTTGTTTACACATCCAGTAACAACGTAACCATAATTAATGATTCATTACAAAATATAATGAACAATGTAAAAAAATGGTATAATAATAATCACCTTTCCATTAATACCGATAAAACTAAAATAATGCTTCTCAGAAATAATCACTCTAGGACCATTAATAACACCTTAAATATTGTTCTTGATAACACAAAACTTGAACAAGTTTCCAGCATAAGGTACTGTACCTAGGAGTTATAATTGACGACACTCTAAGTTGGAAATAACATGTGCACAATATTTCTAAAAATGTGGGATTTAAAATTAACAATGTTGGGCAAAATGTCAGGGTTTCTTAATAAATCACTATTAGAAACTCTGTACTTAATTACTATTCAGCCTTATTCTGATTATGCAATAACTGTTTGGGGAAATTTGTCCGAACTTAATAAGAAAATTGTTAAAAGACACCAGAGAAGGGCGGCTCGTATTATTACGGGTAACTTTGATTATCGAAATATTAGAGGTGATGATATTATTCATTCTTTGTCCTGGCAATCGTTTGAAGAGAGAAGGGATTTTGCCATTGCAGTTAACCATAACGATGGACTGACCCCTTTTAAAGAAAAAATATTTAAGGCACATAAATATGTGATTTTTATTTTTGTAAATACCCATTACGGATATTTGATAATACTGGATATAACTTATTAAAATTGTAAATTATGTAATGATGAAATATGAGGAGAAATAAAAGTGGGATAACCCAACAAAAGACAAAAAATTTTGTATATGTTGTACTAATTGTAATGAAAATTGAAGACAATGTAATTGAATATAGAAAGTTACATTGGTATGATACTATTGTAAATTACTAGCTTCGTAATCAGAATAAATGATGTAGCATATAATATCTCGTTACTCTTACTATTATATACAGTATTAAAAAGAAGATTGAATATTTAAAAAAAAACATTAACGTGCTATCCATTAGAGATTATAACTTAACTCGTATAAAATGATTTCGAGTCTTAAGGTTGCCGGAGCAAAAATCTGGAATGAATTACCTTCAAATATCACCCACTCACCCTCAATTTATTCTTTCAAAAAGACTTACCAGGCTCACTTCTTCCCCCTTAATTGATTTCTGGCCTTGTCTGCTTACTATTTAGGTTTTTCTGCTTTTGAAAAGCCGCACCCCCTGATTTGAGGTGGCGCCGTCAACTTAGCAGTGCACGGTAGGGGAGCCGCAGGCTTATTCTCGGTGGAAGCTACCGGAGCCCAGCAAACTGACGCCGAGGTACCTGCGTGTACACGGTAGTGATGGCGGCGACATCTCAAAAGCGGGGGAGCGCGTATGCCATTTTCGTGATTTCTGAAGAGGAAATGGAGGAAAAAAAGAATGAAAAAGGAAAGGAAAAAAAAGTGGAATTGGGGAGGAAAAGGGTTTCGAAATGATGATTATGATTATTAATGCCTGATCCTGGGTGTGTTCTTTTGTGTTTTGTTTATCATTATTATTTTTTTGTTGATGTTTATTATTATTGTTATTATGATTGTTTTATCATTATTAATAATATTATTATTATTATTTTTTTTTTTTTCCCAGGACCACAATGAAAAACATTTCTTTAAAATGATTGTGTCATCCTGGCTAAAGATATTAGTAAATAAATAAACATATTGATAGGACTATACTGGTCAGACACGAATGTGTCAATAAATGAAATTGAATTGAATGAAACAAAAAAAATTAAGATCATAGAAATTACATTAAATATGTGTATATAGAATGTTATAGAATTCTATAGAAACTAGTTCCTCTATAAAACAATTTTATAGAATATACTAATTTCTATAGAAATTGATTAATCTCTACAGAAGGTCTATAAAGTTCTACAGATTTTTTCTGTAAGGGTAGGGCCAGGCCCTAGGTAGGCCTATGCCTAGTCCTAGGGCCTAGGCCCTAGTAGTAGTACAGTAAGCTAATTAGGCCTAGTCTCTAGGCCTAAGTCGCTTTAACTTTACCGAAGATAACTAGAGCCTATAAGTAATATTTGGAAATTAAAAAAGGATATATTATAGCCATATACGTTCTTGTGCAATGAAAACTTACTGAACTCACCGTTCCTTTTGTTTTCCAAGATAAAGAACCGACGTAAACGAACTTTACATGTGCCCTCCTCTTCCATACCACTGCGTGCGCCTGTCCGCGCGCCTCAACGTCGACACACTACGCATGCGTGTGTCATAATTCTTCATAAACTGAGATGTCACGTGATCGTAAGCGTGCCAAATAAATGGATTTCACTTTAATTTTACGTTAGGGAACGTATTAATAACAATGTTTAAAAATATATAATTGTCAAGGAATTCCAAAATATTTGACACGATCAAGGTGGAATAGGCTTCCTTTACGCCAATTTAATACTGTAGGTGAAATATTATGACATTAACAGAATAATGTCAGCGTTTAATTCACAATATCATCGTTGTTACAAAAATACACCGTTATACGTATGCCTAGGCCTAGTAGACCTACTTTTTATTTAAAGTTTTGAAATTGTAAAATTACGCTTAGCATTACGAGCTCCGATGTTAATTTACTTAATGTTGATTCTGACCTGTTAAACTACGGATAACAGTGATATGACGGCGTAAAATTAACCAGAAAACACATTAAATTTACGAATTCACCGTACATTTACATAGCAATTCCTTTTCTTTATTAATACTGTACAATACTTAACGGTTTAGGTAGGTAAATTTACACCAATTTATAGTTTAAATTTCGAGCTCTGACGTTAAAACACAATGGCGATTTTAACCTGTAGAAAAACGATATGATACCGGTAATTTAGGCTACAACAAATCAACAACCTATCGTATTCTTATTATACAAGATACCGTTAAAATACAATTTTGCTGTAGTTACGTTATTTTTACAGTAAATTGGATTTCAGTAAACGTAAAATAACAGACATTTTTTTTACTGAGAGTAGGATTATAACGGCGAACGTAAAATTACTGAAAAATGTTAATTTTACCCCCGAAGATGAACCGTTATTTAACATCGCGTGTGAGTTCACAGTCTCATCATTGTTATACAAAAATACCGTTAAAATTCATAGTACTTGTTAAAACAACATTTTGTACTGTAAAATTACGCCAGTTTATAAATGAACATTACGAACTCCAACGTTAATTAACGTAAATATTGATTTTACCTGTTAAATTACGGAAAACAGTAATATGACGACGTAAAATTAACCAGCAAACACATTAAATTTACGAATTCATCATATATTTACATAGCAATTCCTTTTCTTTATTACTGTACAATAGTTAACGGTTAAGGTAGGTAAATTTATACCAATTTATAGTTTAAATTTCGAGCTCTGACGTAAAAACACAATGGCGATTTTAACCTGTAGAAAAACGATACGATACCGGTAATTTAGGCTACAACAAATCAACAACATCGTATTTTTATTATACAAGATACCGTTAAAATACAATTTTACGGTAGTTAATGTTATTTTCACAGTAAATTGGATTTCAGTAAACGTAAAATAACAGACACTTTTTACTGATAGTAGGATTACAACGGCGAACGTAAAATTACTGAAAAATGTTAATTTTACCCGCGAAGATGAACCGATATTTAACATCGCAAAGTGTGAGTTCACAGTCTCATCATTGTTATACAAAAATACCGTTAAAATTCATAGTACTTGTTAAAACAATATTTTGTACTGTAAAATTACGCCAGTTTATAAATGAACATTACGAACTCCAACGTTAATTAACTTAAATGTTGATTTTGACCTGTTAAATTACGGAAACAGTAATATGACGACGTAATTTAACCGCCAAACACATTGAATTTACGAATTCACCGTATATTTACATAAAAATTCTGTCGAAATACACGGACGATTTTTAACCTGTAGAAAAACGATATGATACCGGAAATTTACAACAAAACACCAATCTATCGTATTATTATATGAAAAATACCGTAAAAATACAATCACACCGTAGTGACCCTTATTTTTACAGTAAATTTAATTACGGTAAACGTAAAATTACTGACATTTTTTACAGTGTAGGTTGATCCATTTTTGAGCTTAGGAACTCAATGGATTGATTTAAGTCCTCCTCTAGCTTCTTCATTTGAGTAAAAATGGTATTCAACGTAGCGTTTCACTTTACATTGAAACTCCGAATTGACAGTTTGCACTCGTAGCTGCTTTCACCAATGTGAATGTTGTTAAACGTGTTCCAGACACTTAGATATTTAAACACCTTTGAGTTACAGATACTTTTATTGTTAATAGTCATAAAGCTTTCTGGGTATTGGCCATCTTTAGTTTCATCCCAGTTCCAGATCATGTTTCTGTTTTGAAATGATTTATTTCTAATCCAAATTCACTAAAAATTCTGTGAAGTATCTTCAATATCTGGTTTAATTCATCCGATGACCAGCTACTTACACTTAAGTCGACGGCATATCCCCCGTCAATAAAATTGTAGAATCCTTTAGATGTATATGCTGCTCTTTGTGTTCGATTTGTTGCCTCGTTAGGTATTAAATATGGAATTGAAAGAGTAATATCTGCCTTATCGCATCTGTCTTTAAATATCCTCAACGTATAGTCCATGTATAGATTGAACAGATTAGGACCTTCGTTGCCACCTTGTCTTACTCCGGCAGTTGTTTCGAAAGAATCCGTTATTGGGTCTTCATTTGCTAAGTAAGCTGATGTGGAATTGTACATTTTCAAGGATGTCAATATTTTCGGTTGTCTGGTCGTTTGGTATCCTGTTTCTAATTGATTGGAAGTGGAATGAGCGGTTTACGTGGTCGAAAGCTGCAGTGAGATCTATATAGCAGGTATATAATTTCCTGTTTGAGCGATGTGCTACCTCCTGAAGTTGTTTTAGTACGAAAATTCCATCGTTACACCCAGAGCCAAATTGTGTAGCCAGGAGCTTGATTTTCATAAAAGATAGAAAGCCTACTAAGTATTATGTTCATACTTACCTTTGTGAGAATTGGTCCAACGGAGATACCTCTATACTGTTTTGCATCGAGTGCGCTTTCCTTTTTCATCCAGAGTGGTGTTTTGCTTTCTCCCCATCGACTTGGTATTTCTTTCATTTCCCATATTTTCCGGAGGTATGTTTCAAGACGTTCACAATATTCTTGTGATTCTATGGCACTTTTTAGGATATCTCCTTCAATATCGAGAGAAGTTTTTTCCGTTATTCAGACTGTTTATAGCAATTTTAATTTTGGGTAGTGTAGGAGGTAAACTGTTAATATAATTTACGTGGTTCTGCAGCTGTGTGATCCACTCTGGTGGGTTTTTGATATCGTCTGGCATTGTCAGGTGTAAATGGTCTGGGTTAAAGTGTTCTTAAAAATGTTTTGCGAGACCTGGACATACATTATTTCGGGGTTTGGTATTGATAAATTTCCCATGCGTGTTTGCATTGCGCCATAGTTTTGTGACATGGCTATATGCTGTCTTGCTTCATTGAGTTTATGTCCCTCCTCAATTTTAGCATTCTGGTTTTTTTTTTAAATTTCTTTGGTTGCTTGTTTTATTTGCTTGTTTATTTCTTTGAGTTTAATTTTGTTATTTTCATTTTTCTGACACCTTAATGCTTTTCGTTGTTTGATAAGTGACTCATACCTTTCATCTATCAGGTAGGAAGGAATTGTGTGTCTGGGTTTCTTAATTATTGGTAGTTTGTCTTTAATTTGTTGTAACGTATGGATTAAAGTATCGTGTTGCTCATTTACGTTTGTGTCTTTGATGTTGTTGTTTACGAAAGACTGCTTTATTATCTCCTGTGCTTCTTGTTTAAATCTATCGTTGTGCAGATAGCCAAATTCAACTTTGCGTCGACCTTCCTTTTTCTTTTTCTGTGACCATCTTGCAGGTTTATTAGATGGCGTGGCGAGCTTGGTTACGAGAAGTCTGTGGTCTGAATAGAAATATGAGTTTTTAACCCTCACATTTTTAACAAACTGTCGGAGCCAAGACTCGGAGATGCTGAAATTATACACCTTCTTGGTTCTACCATCCGCGCTGTGCCATGTAATTCGCTGTGCCTCTTTGTGCTGAAACCAGGTGTTTAATATTGAAAGGTTGTTTTTCTTGAAAAAGTCGAGGAAAATCCGTCCGTTTTCGTTACATGTTTCATCTTCTGAAGCTTTGTAGTTTCGGCCACTAAATGAAGACGGTCTGCAGCAGATGGAGGAGGTTGCGTTAAAATCACCTTGAATGATTAATTTTCGGTTCTTTTCCACCTTGCAGATGTTATTAAGCTCTCTATAGAATTTTTGTTTGGTAGATAGTGGTTTGTCTTCCGCTGGTGCATATGCCGATATTAACCTTATCTTACACCCTTGGACCTTGATATCAGCAACCATCAGCCGTGGAGATATATGCATAATACCATCAATATGAATGTACAAACATTTTTTAATGGCAATCCCAACTCCCATTATAATCGCTTTATTTTCATGCCTGTCCAAGTCCAATATACGTTGTAACCAAGATGAGTAACCGAACCCTCATTTAGTCGTCTCATCTCTTGTATACAAACTACATCAAGGTTGGTCTTTTTGCTTTCCTTTATCAGATTATCTAACCTTAAGTCGTCTGAACAAGACTGAATGTTTATTTGACCTAAATTCCACTTCAAAAAGTTGCTGCTCCCACACAGCACTTTTTTCTATTATTAGGAATATTATTCAGTTTTATGTTGGCATGCAAATTAGGTATGAAGACGTTAGTCTTGTTTAATTGATGTGGGGGCCGAATACACCTTTCCATATCATTAGAAGAGAAAATATCACGAAGATGTTGTGATCGAAAAGGTGTTGATTTCGATCTAGGTTCATGTGTTACTTTAGCATGTAACACTTGCTTGTTTTTCTCAAAGGATCTAGAATTAGAAATAACTTGTTTGATAACTGCTGTGATACTTCATTGAAGCTTCATCGTTCTGTTGTTTTGCCTACGTTATCATACTGCTGTGAAATAATGGCCCCTAATGTGTAATGATAGAATTTTACAGCTTTGCAATAAGGTACCGGGTGAAGCCCTCATATTATATATAGGCCTATGTAAAACAATTTTCGGAGCTAAAAACGAGAGCCACTAATAATGCTGTACGAGGTCAATCCTATTTTACTTCACATGCTAAAACTTTCAGTTAAATACCTTTATGCGATAATAGGCGCTTATCCACGCAATCCAATGATCGCGTGTCTACCTGGTCTACGGGTATAAATAGGCCTATAGGCCTACATTTGGTAGTCTCCAACGGTCACAAAAAATGCAAACTCCATGGGCACATTTATTATCAATAATCTCGAGCCATTGATAAACAGTGGTATAAAAAAAAACATACAAAAACAACCTAAATTAAAAACTTATTGCAAATTCAAACACGTTTACAGGCTTGAAACATACCTATTATCTTTTAAATAATCAATACGATCTCCCCTGAAAACTTCGAATATCCTCACACTCGCTGGAAATTGAAAGAAAGACACGCTTCTCTCTCACAAATCCACCCGAACTTAGACGGTGCCGTCTCTGTAACTCAGTTGATGTTGAAGAGAGTCACATTTTTTTTTTATTAAATTGCAATTACTATGATTATCTTCATTTCAAGTTTATACATAGTTGAAAATACGCCATGCGTTTTGATCGAACATCCCCTAAATGTTTCAACATTATGAGCACTTCTGATTACGATGTTATTTTACCATTATCAACCTTTGTTGAAGAAGCTTTCCTTTAAAAAAAAAGCTATTGGTTTATAATTTTGTCTGACTTAATCGAACGTTTTGTGATGTATGTTGCTTGTGTTTTGCTTGTATGTTGCTTGTTCCTTTGTTTATATGACCATCTGTTTTGTGCAGTTTATGTCAATAAAAGAATTGAATTTATTCTTTATTCTTTATTCTCAACCAACAGTGTAAAACACCAATAATAGGTTGAAATAAAATTTTCAGTAAACAGAGCATAAATATATACAATACAAATTAAAAAAGGAGTTCATTAATAATACTTTTAAATTGCGAGTAATTACAGTTAAAAATATCCAAAAAATTATTCTTTAAAAGACAAGCGTTATAAGCTGACGAAATTCTACGGAAAATACCATTTTTACAAACATTTACGCGAGGATATTTAACATGAAGAAAAGGTTTATAACGAAGATTACGAACAGATACATTAAAATGAAACATAGATACAAGATTACATTTAAACTTAGAGTTAAGACATTTGTACAAAAAGTATAAATCCTGTCTTGCTCTCCTAGACGTCGGAGAAATGATAGGAGGCCTATTGGCTGCTGGGCCGATGAAGCGCAAGAATGTTCTATGGATTCGATCTATTCTGGAAACTTGGGAAGCAGAGAGAGAGTTATATATAACTGAACAAAAATCGAGTGATGGTTGGACAAGAGATAAGTAAAGTGCACTTTTTGTGTGTGGGGAGAACTGAATGCAATTGCGCCACATTAGCCCAAGTAATCGATTGGCCTTTTAACAATGTGGTCAACATGTGAAATAAATGTCAGTTTACGGTCAATAAAAATGCCGAGGTCACGATAGGAATTTACACTTTTAAGGACCTCACCTTGAACATAGTAAGCAAAAGTAATAGGTGTATTCTTAAGAGAGCAAGACAGGACTTTGCATTTATCGGACTTCAGGGACATTTTCCAGTCGGAAACCCACTTGCCTGGAGCGCAATGAGTTCTCAATGGTGGTAATGATTTTATATATCTTGAGGTCATCAGCGAACATAAGACAGCTGGAATTTTGGAAAATATTAGGTATTTCATTAACAAAGATGTTGAACAGAAGGGGGGCTAGAATGGAGCTTTGAGGAACTCCTGAGAGGACTGGGAGAGGGGCACCTTCAAATACTACTCTCTGGAACCTATCGCTCAAGTAACTTTTAAACCAGGAAAGTAAGTTACCGCTAATGCCAAATTGATGCAGTTTTAATAATAATAACTTATGGGACAGTTTATCAAACGCTTTACTGAAATCAGTGTAAATTATGTCACATTGATTTTTAGTTTCGATGGCCTCATATACGGTAGACAGAAGTGTAGCAAGATTTGTATCACAAGATCTACCGGCCATGAAGCCATGTTGTTCTTGAGAGATAATAGGTGGAACATGGGATAAAAGTTGAGCGTTAATAAGCCTTTCAAGAATTTTAGAGATGGTTGGAAGTAAGGAGATAGGTCTATAATTTTGGACTATTAATTTTGAGCCATTTTTATGTATTGGGACGACATTTGCGGTCTTCCATATGTCGGGAAAAGTGCCAGATGTAATGGAAAGTTTAAAAATATTGGTAATGGGTAAGGATAAAGTGGAAGAACAAAATTTAAGAATATGATTGCTGATAGGGTAATTTCCAGCTGCCTTATCCACGCTGATTGACCTCAGAAGATATTCAACGTCATGTTGTTGAAAAATGACAGTATTGATGACATCAACATTGAGCCCAGGCAGATCCAGGTGCTCCGCAATAGCAGAGTCCCTGAAGTCCGAGAAAGCTGAAACAAAAAAGTTATTAAATAATGTGGCTTTTGTCTGCGGGCTGTCAGCAACATTATCCCCATCAGATATAGTTATTGCATTTGGCGTAGTTTTCAATTTGCACTTTATCCAAGTCCAAAATCGCTTGGGATTTGTGACAAGGTCAGAAGAAATTGTAAATTATGTCACATTGATTTTTAGTTTCGATGGCCTCATATACGGTAGACAGAAGTGTAGCAAGATTTGTATCACAAGATCTACCGGGCATGAAGCCATGTTGTCCTTGAGAGATAATAGGTGAAACATGGGATAAAAGTTGAGCGTTAATAAGCCTTTCAAGAATTTTAGAGATGGTTGAGAGTAGGGAGATAGGTCTATAATTTTGGACTATTAATTTTGAGCCATTTTTATATATTGGGACGACATTTGCGGTCTTCCATATGTCGGGAAAAGTGCCAGATGTAATGGAAAGTTTAAAAATATTGGTAATGGGTAAGGATAAAGTGGAAGAACAAAATTTAGGAATATGATTGCTGATAGGGTCATTTCCAGCTGCCTTATCCACGCTGATTGACCTCAGAAGATATTCAACGTCATGACAGTATTGATGACATCAACATTGAGCCCAGGCAGATCCAGGTGCTCCGCAATAGCGGAGTCCCTGAAGTCCGAGAAAGCTGAAACAAAAAAGTTATTAAATAATTTGGCTTTTGTCTGAGGGCTGTCGGCGACATTATCCCCATCAGATATAGTTATTGCATTTGGCGTAGTTTTCCGTTTGCACTTTATCCAAGTCCAAAATCGCTTAGGATTTGTGACAAGGTCAGAAGAAATACAATTAAGGTAAGCCTTATACTTGAGGTTTAATAATCTTTTGAAATTAGTACGGGCCACACAAAAATTTTGACGAGAAATGATCGACGGAAATTGTTTCCAAACACGATGATAATGTTCTTTAGACTTTAAGGATTTCACAAGCTCGGCATCAAACCATTTAGGACTTCTTTTACGAATTTTAATGGTGGGGACAAGGACCCTAACAGCCGCATCAACAAGGTCATAAAACATTCCAACACGTTCATTAATATCAGATGTGAAATCAAGAATATGCCACGGAATTTTTTCAAATGTGTTATTCAAATCACCAAAATTGGCTCGTCTATAATTATAAAGGTATCCAGATTTGTTATTATTAATTAAATGTATATTTACAAATTGAAGTGAGGTTGAAATAGAGTTATGATCGGAATTAAAGATATTCTGGCCTGCAGTAATATCAGAGATAATATTATTATTATTGCACAGTACAAGGTCTAGAATTTTACTGTTACATGTTGCAAATTTATTGCACTGAAAGATATTGTGACCATGTATTATAGAATCCATAAAAAGTTCTGAGAAGGAGTTTGAAGGTACTGAATAAGTACCATTGTCGTTCCAAGTGATATCTGGTACCGGTAGGTTAAAGTCTCCTATAAACAGCAGGTTATGATCCGGATAATGTTCAATGGCTGTGTCAAGTGCGGTAATCAAATTATTAATGGATTCTCTGCCAGAATTGGGGGGTCTGTAATAAATAGCAGCTATGATCCGTTGATTTCTGGATACTGTGATTTCTACCCAGATGAGTTCGTTGCTATCATCTTCGAGGTCTTCGATTTTGCGACTTTTTATTTTATTTGATATATAGATGGCAACTCCCCTCCTCTGCGATTTCCTGGTCTGTCACGTCTATATAGATTAAAGTTTGGTATTTCTAATTCTAAATCGGTAACGAATTCCTTCAGCCAGGTCTCAGTAAAAGGCTGCTATATCGTATGTTCCGTTTAACATATGTGCGGTCATGTCGGAGTGAAGAGTTTCAAATTTATTTTTCAGGCTACGAACATTTTGGTAGTAGACATTAAGTTGTTGAGGTGGATGCCTAGCTAACGGGTGTATATCTATTGTGACTGGGGGGTTAGCTGGACCGGGACCTGGGTTAAGTTCGACATCGCCATATTTGGTAACCGATGGTTGGAATGTGGCCGTGGTTGCATAGTGAGGGTTGTACAAAAGCGGCTTACCTCTCGTGCTACGTGATTTCTTTGCTGCTACAAGAGTATTGCGAATTATAAACGGTGACTTTGCGTAAAAAAGCAAGTCTAGGCCTAACATACCTAGGCCCAATCCATCGGTGTTATCTTGATCCCTACTATAGCATGCATCGGCTTCCAGCCCTGTCTGAAACTGGTAAGTTCTGCTTGGTTGCACCTGATAGGGGGCTAGAGTAAGATCCAATTTTGACGTACTTTTAGACAACTTACTAGTTGAAATATTGCACAAAACGTTGTAGTAAGTGATATTAACTGGGTAGCTGCAGAAGGT